TTGAATGGTTTAAAGTTAATTTAAGATTTTGGTTTTGCATTAATTGTTAAGTTTACCAGAAGCTTGGACCGAATTTTCCAAGGGCATTCCTGTTTTTGGGTCTTTGCACCTTTTTGTTCCCTCAGTATGTAGTAACTTCTCCAGTAGAAATTTGTATGTCCTATTCTTCACTTTTTAAGTCTTTGCTTGTATAATGGGATACCTCTCTCATTTTGCTTCCTAGCTTTATTTTTGTTGGTAGCACTAGATCACCATATTATGTTTATGTGTTACATATTATGTTTACTTGGCTATTTGTCTCCCTAATGTAGAATATGATCTCCCAGAGGGCAGGAACTTGTTTACTGCTGTGTCCCCAGTGTTTAATGTCTGACATGTAGTAGTATGCAATCAATAAGTATTGATTTAATGAAGAATAGCAATGTCTGCCTTTACCTCCATGAGTTAACTCAGATTCTAAAATATTCACCAGGATAAGCACCTTTTCTGGTCCATTTATATATTGCTTTATAGAGATAAAGGTTGGATGTAGGTTATTGGGTAATATGGGTGCTTCCCAAGTATGGTTGGTAACCTGTTCATTGTTTTTTCTTTTTAAAAAATTATTTATTTATGAATGAATGAGTGAATGACAGAGTCTCACTCTGTTGCCTGGGCTAGAGTGCCGTGGCGTCAGCCTAGCTCACAGCAACCTCAAACTCCTGGGCTCAAGCAGTCTTTCTGCCTCAGCCTCCTGAGTTGCTGGGACTACAGGTGTGCACCACCATGCCCGGCTAATTTTTTCTGTTTTTAGTAGAGAAGGGGGTCTCACTCTTGCTCAGGCTGATCTTGAACTCCTGAGCTCAAGCGATCCTCCCGCCTCGGCCTCCCAGAGTACTAGGATTACAGACATGAGCCCTTGCACCCAGCCTGTTCATTGTTGATAAAGGTGAATCTGATACATAGAAAAGAAATTAACAGCTAGCACTCCTATATCAGTTAGGGTCCCAGCAAGAAAGAGTTCACTGCAGATGGCTCAACCGAAGTATCTTTGAGAAAGGGTCTACTTAGAGTGATGCCCGTGGCTCAAAGGGAATAAATACAGGGTTGCAAGATGTCCAGGGGGAGACAAGGGCTGCTACCATCCCTAGGATTGAAGGAATAAAATGAAGAAATAATGTAACGAGTGAGGGAGGGGTCACCTGGCTGGAATGGTAGTTTGGAGATGGAGCATTTAAGCAGGGAGGACAGAAGAAAAGACCTCCTTTTTCTCCCATTCTCTAATTTCTAGTATCTTCTAATATCTTTCACGGGCCAGTCTAACTGCACTTGGTAGTGCAGTCCATAGATACAAGCTATCAAAAATAGGCTGAGAGAAGTGCATGTGGAGACCAGCACAGCATCAAATCTGTGATTTTTTTTTTTTTTTTGTAGATTTGTGTGTGTGTGTGTGTAGGAAAAAGCTAAGTTTTAAGAAAAGTAAGGGGATTTAAAGAAAAGCATTAAACCATAGCACAGGTAAAAAATCATGGCTAAAGTTTGGGAAACACTGGGAAAATAGTTCTGCGAGCAGCACTGTATTCGGCATACTCCAAAATGGTCACTGTAAGGTTTGTTTTGTGATTCATTTTAGAAAATTTTCATCCTGTCTTTTTTTTTTTTTTTTTTTTTTTGAGACAGTCTTACTTTGTCACCTTGGCAGTGGTGTCATTGTAGCTCACTGCAACCTCCATCTCCTGGGCTCAAGCCATCCTCCTGCCTTAGCCTCCCCAGTAGCTGGGCCTACAGGCGTGTGCCACCATGCCCAGGCTGGTCTCAAGCGATCTTCCTGCCTCGGCCTCCCAGAGTGCTAGGATTACAGGTGTGAGCCACCATGTCCGGCCTTATCTTAATTATTGCCTGACTAGTGCTCCACATGTATATGTTTTCTAGACAACTGAAGCCTAAGCCTTTGCACAATTTTATTTACCTGTTTTAGAGGGACTTTTACTCAAAAATGATCTTAATTTCCTGAAATGTATCTGATTTCCTAATCTCATTAACTGTAGTGGTGGTTCCCAAACTTTAGGGTACATCAGGATTACTTGGGAGGGCTTGATAAAATAGGTGGCCCCTCCCCTGGAATTTATCTTTTAGTAGGACTGGAATAGGACCTGGGGCGATGCTGATATTACTGCTAATGGGATCACACTTTGAGAACCACTAGTGCTAGAGTATATTGAGCTTAATTTAACGTTTTCTTGATGACATAGGGTCATTTAACCTACAAAGGTATATTTTGTACTGAAGTGCAAGGATGTTCTTCTGAAATGGTTCCAGGTCAGTTTTATAATCTGCATTTCTTTTTACTCTTCCTGCTGTCATTCACTGTGCCTCTGTCTCAATGTAATTTTCCTATATTAAGCTTCTCTGTGCTGAGACTGGATAAGTTGGTTGAATTTTAGTTTATGAAAGACAGGATCTGAAAGCAAAGTTCATGCACTTTAGTGAATGAGCTTTAGTATACCCATTTTGACTATTCAGTTTTCTTTTCTGATTATTCTCCAAGATATCTAAGACTGCCACATACATGCCATTTGGTTAAGTGTGGTATCACTTTTAAGTTGTTCTGTACTTGCCTTAGATGGGTAGGGATCTCAAGATTCTCTGATACTTTTAATAGTTGAACACCTTAGAGGAAGTCCATGAGAAACTTTCTGTCTATATTAAATTCTTGTTACGGTTCTTTAGCTAGCCTGTAACCTATATCAGGTATGTCTTTTTGTTTTAAAGTCTGTCTTAAACTGTATTATATATTGTAAGCACTTTTAAGTCTTGAAATATAGAAAGGGAGCAAATAACTAGTATTATGCATGTTTTTATAAATATTAAATCTTGGATGTAGGTATATAATCTTTTTTTCTCTCAAGATAACTAATACCGTGTAACATTAGCATAGAAAAGGGGAACAATGAATTTGTGTTTTTCAGTAGTGAGTATTCTAGAACTGTTGGCTTCATATGTTTGATAGAGAATTTACCTTGCATACACATGTTGAAAATTTGTTTGGAGAATGCATGGAAAATAATTACGTACTTCCCAGTTGTTACCACATATTTTCAAACAACAAGGAATTTACTATTCAAGTGCCTGTATCAGAGATGTCTTCCACATCTTTTCTGTTGATAGAATTTTTAAGGCCTCTGTGTCTTGGGTTTCCTTTCAAGATAGATTTATACATTCTGCCTTGACTTTATTTTTTGTACCTGCTAAGTCGTTTTTTCTCTTTGACTTTTTCTCTGAAACCCTGCTAATGCTGATTTGTGAAAGAAATCGTTGCTTAAAATTGATTACCTTACCTCAATTTGTTTTTGCTAGCTTTTTTTCCTTGTTAGTAATAAAGTTATGAGTATGTGTTGTGTTATACCTTGTAAACTGAGATGTAATTTCACATAATTTCATTTGATTTTTCATTATAATTCCTAAAGATGATAATAGGAGGTGGTATTTTTCTTATTTTACCTAGAGTAAATCAAAGTACAGAGAGGTACTCAAATTTCACCCTAAGTCCTAGCAATCCCAAAGCCCATGCTTTTACTCTATCCTAGATAAACTGTAGTAGTCATGTTTTTACCTTGGGTAATTACTTAATTAACTTCATTGTCTGTCTTCATCCATAAAGTGGGAATATTAATTCCAACTTCGTAAAGTTATTGTGGGGATTAAACTGAGTAATATGTATAAATTGCTTAAAACAGTGCCTGGCACATAGCCAAACTACAATAACTGCTATTAATAATAGCGGTTGTTATACCACATTACTTTTCTTTTCTCCCTTTAAAAGTTACCATCATAAAATTGATTTCTCAGATTTTCAGGCAACTTTTGCTGTAGTGAAATTTCACCATCAAAAAAAATTCTTAAGGCCAGGCGTGGTGGCTCATGCCTGTAATCCCAGCACTCTGGGAGGCCGAGGCGGGTGGATTGCTCCAGGTCAGGAGTTCTAGACCAGCCTGAACAAGAGCGAGACCCCGTCTCTACTAAAAAATAGAAAGAAATGATCTGGACAGCTAAAAAAATACATATAAAAAATTAGCCGGGCATGGTGGCGCATACCTGTAGTCCCAGCTACTTGGGAGGTTGGGGCAGAAGGATTGCTTGAGCCCAGGAGCTTGAGGTTGCTGTGAGCTAGGCTGACGCCACGGCACTCTAGCTAGCCAGGGCAACAGGGCGAGACTCTGTCTCAAAAAAAAAAAGATTCTTAAATTATTTCTTCATTTATATTTGATTAGTTTTATTTCCTGTCTTTAAAAGCTCATTTCTATTTGTCTAAATTTTTCTTTCTTAGAAGAATGTACAGCAAAATAATTGCTTGAGAAGGCTGTTGAAGGTATTGTTTATATTGTTGTAGTATGCTGGGAGAAAAACGGTTGCCTTTTCTCTGAGATTAAAATGTTTATTCATATTTTTTTGCTAAATCTAAAATGGATATTGCTTATTTGATGGCCTATTGGGTTTTTTTTAAGGATTGGCCATTTGGGACAATTATTGGCTCATGTATGCATATAGAAGAAAGAAAAAAGTAGGAATTTCATATCTATAGAATTTGTAAAATACCATTATGTTAGCATTAACTTTTATAAGTGAATTTTTTTTGTTTTGAGACTAAGTCTGACTCTGTTGCCCTGGGTAGAGTGCAGTGGTGCCATCATAGCTCACTGTAACCTCAATCTCCTGGGCTCAAGCAATCCTCCTGCCTCAGCTTCCCAGAGTGTTAAGGATTATAGGCGTGAGTCACCGCACCCAGCCTGTAACCGAATTTATTTATTTATTTATTTTTATATCAGCATATTACGGGGGTACAGATATTTAGGTTACATATTATTGCCTTTGCCCCACCTGAGTCAGAGCTTCAAACATGTCCTGTAACTGAATTTTAACAAACTTTGTTGGGAACAGTGTCTTACTTAGCTGGCTTTCTCTAAGTAGTTATTTAAAAAGATAAATTTCTAAAACTGTCTTACATGTTTTCCCCCCAATAGGGCATTCTTAGCAGGGTTACGGAATCTGTTAAGAATATTGTGCCAGGGTGGCTACAGAGGTACTTCAACAAGAATGAAGATGTATGCAGCTGCTCAAGAGACACAGGCGAGGTTCCACACTGGCCAGAGAATAGAGAAGATGACCATTTGACGTATGCTGATGAGGAGAGCTCTAATATTAATGATGGGAGAATCACTCCTGAGCCAGCAGTCAGTAATACAGAAGGTAAATAGAATGTGGATATTTTGTCATGAATGATAGGTTTTCATGCCTTAATTTTAACATATTAACTGGCTATGATAAATCTAATTGGGTGGTACATAAACTGTGTAGGAGGGTGACAATCAAGTTCAAACTGGATATCTTTTATATATCAGCTTTTTGTTTATTAAGGAAGGTTGATAAACTGCGTATCGCTTAAGAGTTCAAGCTCTGATGTTAGATTTCCTGGGTTTCAATTTCATACCGCCAATATTGGTTGTGTGGCTTTTGGCAGGGTAATTAATTTATTTTCTCCTTTGTATCTTCATAAGTTGTTTGAAAAAGAGTAATTGTGAAGCCCTTAGAATAGGCCCTGGCACTAAGGTAGTAGTACAATGTAAATATTTTCTTTTTCTTCTTTTTTTTTTTCTTTTCCCAACAGAAAGTCAGAAGCTATACTTTGTAAATATTAACTGTTAAAGTGAAACTGTGGTAGTGCCTGTCACAATTTGGGTATAATATAACTGCAGTTGCCTCTTAACCTCTCTGGGGCGAGCTCAGCTGGGTCATTCTATTAATCTTGCAATTAAGTGACCCTGCATTTTAAAGACTTGAACTTTTTTGGTGTACTTTATAAATTTACAGCATCTTGGTGGGGTTTACAAGTATTTAATGGATTTGGTATAACCTGTGAATATGGTGTATTTGGGAATATTATTCTCTCAATTCACTTTATATATTTTTATGGCTTTATTGAGATACATTTTACATGCTATAAAACTCACCTATTTAAAGTGTACAGTTGAGTGGTTTTTAGTATATTCACAAAAGTTCTGCAGTTATGACCACCATCGATTTTAGAACATTTTCATCACCCAACAAAGAAATACCATATCTATTAGTAGTCATTCCCTCTACCCCTCTCCCAACTCCTGGCAGTCACTAATCTACTTTCTATCTCAGTGGATTTGCTTGTTCCAGAGATTTCATGTAAATGAAATCATAGAATATGTGATCTTTGTGACTGACTTTAACGTAGTGCAATGGTTTTAAGGTTCATCCATATTTATATCAGAACTTCATCCTCCCCTCCCCCAATATTCCATTGTCTGGATAAACTATATTTTTAAAAATCCATTCATCAGTTGATGGATTTTTGGGTTGTTTTCACTTTTAGGATATTATGGATAATGCTGCTCTGAATATTGGTGTGTAAGTTTTTGTGTAGAGTAAAATTGCTAGGTCATATGGTAATTATGTGTTTAACGTTTTGCAGAATTGCCAAACTGTTTCTCAAAGTGAGTACACCATCTTTCTTACCAGTAGTGTATGAAGGTTCCAGTTTCTTTATATCCTCACTAATACTTAAGTTCAATTTATTTTGATTATAGCTATCCTAGTGGGTGTGGCAGTATCTCACTTTGGTTTTGATTTGTGTTTCCCTGATGACTAGTGACGTTGAGCATCTTTTAATGTGCTTATTGGCCATTTGTATATCTTTGGAAAAATGGCTATTCAAACCCCTCTTTTTTATTTTTGATTGGGTTACTTGTCTTTTTATTGTTGAGTTGTAACAGAGCTTTATGTATTTTGGATACAAGTCCCTTATCTGTATAGGATTTGCAAATTTTTTCTTCCATTCTGTGGGTTGTCTTTTTACTTCCTTGATGGTGTCCTTTGAAGCACAGAAGTTTTTAATTTTGATGAAGCCCAACATATCTTTTAGTATATGTTTCTTTCAACATATATTTTTTCTTTCAATACATGTTTTGACATATATAGTTATAGTTTTTTCTGTTAAATCTTGTCTTAAATAATGTTGATATATGCCCTGTTAATTTTGGCATACTTAATAATACTTTCCTGCCTGATTTGCCTGTAGTGAAAATGAAATGGGCCTGAAAGAATGGTTTTTATTTTGGAGAAATGGGAATCTGAGTTTTCCTAGTAATGTTCAATTTGATGTATTCTTTGCATGTTCCCTTATTTTTGTTAGAATAACTTCAGAAGTTTTAATATCTGTGCTTTTCAAGGATCCCCCCACACCACCTCCTTTTAAGAGTGACAGTGTCACAGTCTCACCCTGTCTTCCAGACACCGTTACAGCTCACTGCAGCCTTGAACTCCTGGGCTCAAGGAATCCTCCCACCTCAGCCTCCCAGGTAGCTGGGACTAAAGGCACACACTGCCACACCTGCCTAATTTTTTTGGGGGGGGGGGTTGGGTAGAGACAGATCTCTCTATGTTGCCTAGGCTGATCTCAAACTCCTGGTCTCAAGCAATCCTCCCACCTCAGCCTCCCTCCCAAAACTCAGGGATTATGGAAATCCCGGCCCAGGGTTTCTCTTAAATATGTTACCAGCAGCTGTTTTGAGGATTTATCTGGTAGATCTCTAAGCTGAGTGCTTCCATGTCATTTTCTTTTCTGGACACCAAATGGGACCCCAGCTTTTCTTTTTCTTCTGGTTAGAGACTTCTAGAGAGCACCAGTATATACACAGTGACCGAAACCATCTTTGCCATCTTAATGAACATACTTGTAAGAAATAACTAACTCGAAGTATTTAGGTTTGAGATACATGGAGTTTCTCCTTCTACAGCTGTGATGTTTTATTTGTGTGTTTGTATTTTCATGAAAACAGTGGGATTGATTTCATCGGTTTGCCAAGATCAATTGGAACTCAGATTTTATTCATCATCTTATTAAATTTATAAAGTAGCTTTTCTGTTACGTGTATACTATCTTATAAAATTATTACGGGCCGGGCGTGGTGGCTCACACCTGTAATCCTAGCACTCTGGGAGGCTGAGGCGGGCGGATTGTTTGAGCTCAGAAGTTTGAGACCAGCCTGAGCAAGAGGGAGACCCTGTCTCTACTAAAAAAAAAAAAAAATAGAAAAAAATTATCTAGACAACTAAAAATATATAGAAAAAATTAGTCGGGCATGGTGGCGCATGCCTGTAGTCCCAGCTACTCGGGAGACTGAGGCAGTAGGATCTCTTGAGCCCAGGAGTTTGAGGTTGCTGTGAGCTAGGCTAACGCCACAGCATTCACTCTAGCCAGGGCAACAGAGTGAGACTCTGTCTCAAAAAAAATAAATAAATAAAATTATTATGGAAAATTTCCAGCTACTGAAGTAAGAAGGATAGTATAGCGAACCCCCATGTGTAGCCATCACCCAGCTTCAACAGTCAACATATGGTTGATCTTGTTTTCTCTGTTCCCACACTTACTTGCCCACCTTCTCATCCCTACTCCCCTCATGTAGAAGCAAATTGCGGGCAGCTTTTTGATATCTACTTGAAAAAATTGATAGCATTTTCCCCTCTCATTCTTGTCTTAGATCTGAATCCTCTACTTCTCTTAAACTTTGTGAGTCCTACATGCTTCCCTTATAGTCAGCATTGTGTGTGACTTCAGTTCCCCACTAACATTAATATAGATTTTGCTACATATATTAATAACAAAGAAATGACGGTTTATGTTTCCTCTGTGAAACATTATACTAAATTTGACAGTGCATTCTTGAAAAAACTTACAGATAGTCATACATTGCTTAACTAAGGGGATACATTCTAAGAAATATGTTGTTAGGCAACTTTTGACATTGTACAGAGTGTATGTACACAAATCTGTATGGATAGCCTACTCACACCTAGATCCTCCACCAGCTAAAAGAGCATGACTCACTGAAGGTACAAATGATCCTTAGTATTTTTTAGCAATAAAAAATTAATTTAAAATTAAGATATGTACATTGTTTTTTTTTTGTGCCCAGCTCAGTGATATTAAATATATTCACATTGTTGTGCACCTGTTACAACCATCTGTCTCAGAACTTTTTTCACCTTGCAAAACTCAAACTCTGTACCCATTGAAAAATATCTCCCCATATATCCCCTCCATTAGTCCCTAGCAGCCACCATTCTAGTTTTTGTTCCTATGATTTTAACTACTCAGCACCTCATATGAGTGGAATCATAGAATATTTGTCTTTGTTACTGGCTTGTTTTACTTGATTTATTTTACTTAGTCTTCAAGGCTCATTCATGTTGTACCATATATCAGAATTTCCTTTTTAAGGTGGAATAATCCATTGAATGTATATACCACATTTTGCTTATCCATTTGTCTGTCGATGGACATTTGGAATTGCTTCTACATTTTGGCTCCTGTGAATAATGCTGTTGTGAACATGAGTGTACAAATGTCTGAGAGCCCACTTTCAGTTTTTTGAGTATGTTCCCAGAAGTGGAATTGCTAGATCATAAGGAAATTCTGTCTTTAATTTTTTGAGGAATCACTATACTGTTTCCATAATGTCTGTACCATTTTACATTCCCACTGGCAGTGCACAAGGGTTCCAGTTTCTCCATGTCTTTGCCAACATTTAATTTCTCTTTTTCTGATAGTATATATCCTAATGGTATGAGATGATATCTCATTCTGGTTTTAATTTGTATTTCTCTCATTAGTGATGTTGAGCATCTTTTTATATGCTCGTTGGCCATTGTACGTCATCTGTGGAGAAATGCCTGTGTAGTTTCTTTGCTCATTTTTTAATGAGCTATTTAGTTATAGGAGTTCTTATTCTTTTTTGCTTAGATTTACCTTTTATTTTTTATTTACTTTAAAAATTTTCAATTATTATGGATGCATAATAGTTATACATTTATAAGGTACAGGTGATATTTTGCATCAAGTATGTAATGTGTAATAATCAAATCAGGGTAATTGGGATATCCACCACCTCAAGCATTTGTTATTTCTTTGTGTTGGGAACATTCCAATTCTACTTTTTTAGTTATTTTGAAATATACAGTAAATTATTGTTAAATGTAGTCACCCTGTTAACTGTGCTACTAAACATTAGATCTTATTCCTTCTGTCTAGCTGTATTTTCTTTCCTTTCTTATTCCTTTTTCTTTTCCCTCATCCCTTCCTTCCTTCTTTCCTTTTTCTTTCTTATTTTTCCTTTCCCACAACCCCCACATCTAGCTGTATTTTTTATACCCATTAACCA